AAATAATTCCACTGTGCAGCTTTATATACTATAAAGAAAATATAGGATTTTAATTAAAACAATTTATTTCTGTCTTTACGGTTTTCAGGGTAAGAGATTTTTACTTTGAGAATACAGATGTCAGCAAAAACAACGTAATTAACTTTTAAGAGGCACAGTCGATCTGTGAAGCTGCTTAAAATTTTGGTTTACCTGCAGTTTCTTTCGTGCGTGACTTGTAATATTCAATTTCCATGTTACCTTTTCATTAGACTGTAATGGTTGATCATTGAAATTATGGACAATTTATGTTTCTGTTTATATTTTAACATTTATCATTCGATTTATAATTCATCAGAGGTCTAAAATACCGATTGTAGCATTTAAAGATTAAGATCCTGAAAGAATCTATGAAAATTGATATAAATAATAAGTTTTATATAATTGAAGATTCAGTTTCGACCTGTTTTTCTTTCATTCTTTATACATTTTACGTATATATCGAAAATTGTTCTTATTACGATTAAAGATTCATTTCCATGTAAAGTAAGGGAAAAATCACAAAAATTGTATGATAAAAATAGGTTTATCTTTCAAAGTAAAATTGAAAGAATCTTTATTACTTACACAATACATTTGAACACTGACTAACCAAGAAAATAAGAACTTACAAGAATAGTCTCATATGTCGCCACAAAATGACTGTCATATGAAAATTATTTTCTTTTACGTCCGGTCATGGGGCAATTTAATTCACAAATTGTAATGGCTCGAAAAAAAACTATTCGCTTAACGCGTACAATTTGAGTTAATTCAATGTTCTCAAAAACGCTGACCTTTCATCTTTCTCATACAACCTAATTAAATTGCGGGGAATCGACTGCAACATCGTAACACGGCATGCCTCGAGAATAAAACGACATCAATACCGAGGGATTGATTTTCGATTTAATCAAACGTAACTGGATACTAAACTGAGCTCGTAAATTTGCAACTGGTTCAACGAGACGAGTACCTAGTTATTCGTTGCCATTTGTACAAACTACTTTGCAACGAAATCAATTGGAGATTGTTTGAACGAAAATTTTTTAATGAGTTGATGATATACAATAATTAAATCTGGACATCTTTCATTGATTATAATTTTCCGGAGATTTTTGTTGTTTGAACATCGGTTTTGTCACTAAAATAGATTACAAAAGAGGTTGTTATTGTATTGATAAAATACGCTGCAAAATGAAGTGAAACAGCTTGGAAACTATTATATTTAGATTAAAATAATTGGCCTTCGAAGCACGATGTTTGGTAATAAAACACGTTGCTATTGACGTTTCTGATGATTCTGTATATCTTTTGTAAAATATTTTCGAAATAAAACAAAGTAAAAAATATATAATTCTGAAGAAGTTAAATAAAATCTTGAGTTTTACATTTTATAGATTCTAGAGTCAATAGATGATTTTATTCCGAATTTTATTAAGGAGAAAACGGTTTCCAAATTGAAAATGTTAACGTTAACCTGGCAATGAACAAAAGGTTTAAAACTAAATTAAATATAAATTTTAAATAAACTACAGATATACACGAAGTACTGCAATAATATTATAAATAATGTTTTGCATAATTTTGCTTGTATAAGAACAATTCGTAATTCTTAGAATAATAGTATGGTATATTGATTGAGCTTTGGTAATATCGCCAAGTAGCATCAACTTAATTTAATTTAACGTAACTTCAGACTTTGTACACAGTACATAGATAACAATAAATTAGAACTTCAAAAACAAGTCTTGTTTTCATAGATTATATTCTACCTGAAAATCTAAGATAAGTTTCACTAAGTGCGTATATACCAAGGACCAAACAAAACTACTTAAAAATTAATTAATCCCATTTTTGATTAAATGTACTGATAAAATATTCATTATATTCAGATAAACAGTCATCTCTTATAACTGGCAGAAGCTATAACATTTTATTACTTTTATACTAAAGTATTTCTATTTTATTAGAAACATTAATTCCTAAAAAAAGTGTTGGAGTTTCTTGTTTTGTGTACCTTTCCATCATGCTTGACTCTCCTAGACAATAATTTATCGTTCTCGATCATTAAATCACATCACCAGTTAATAACTTCAAGTGGCACTTGAATATGCCATTTCAAATCCCATAATGATCTTTTTAATATTTAAAATACAAGGTCGTCCGAAAATCAATTAAAAATGATTTATTTAAAACGTTTACTTATCATTTGTTTTCATATCCACGCTTTTTCAACTTATTTTTTTATGTAGATTCATCTCCTTTGGACTTGTGCACCGTTCTGCCTTGTGACCAGTGTTGGACAAAAGTTATTTAAAATAAGGAATAAAGGACGACGGATAAATACAATCTGATTATTGCTTGCGAATAACAAGTAAACGATATATTCACCAATCACAGGTAGTAAATAAATAAATAAATAAAGAAAACTTGTCAAAGAATCTTAGAAAATTACAATATCAGAATTATCCAGATTAAAAATAAAGAACTATGAATAAATTAATGAATAATAATGTAATAACAAATATAATAATAGTTATATTAATTATCAATTATTAATACAAGATAATTGAAGTGGCCATTTTACCGGTACAACCATCTTCCCCGAAATTATCCCGCTAAAACACTAGACTTCTCAATATTTTATATATTTCTTCGTATACGACGAGGCGATCGATTTCCACGAGTTTTTGATGTACTCGTGATTTCTAGGTGCTCGTGTACTCGCGGAGGGGACATTCCCCGATTATGCGGCATTAATACGGCTCGCGGGAGCGATCGTTTCGTCTTTCGAACACGTGTGCCCTTATCACTGGTCATTTTTTTCTAACGACACGATAACAGTAACCGCAAAGCATAATTTCCGTTCGTGGCATTTCGAAGAAACTTCGTTCGATCGGTAGTTCCGCGGTTCGTAGCAGGATTCCACTTTTCCTGTATCGATAAAACGAGTATTTCGGCAGGCACTCGATTGTTACTTGCGAATACAGCGATGTAATCTTTATTATCAGTCTTTTAACAAGTACGACTGTATTACGTACAATATATTAATTGGAAACTTGAAAGCAGTTACCTAAAATCTCGAGAAGTCAAGTTAATGAGTTTTCATTGCAATCGAAGGATTGTACAATATATGTGGTACTAATTGGCTATATTTTCACTAATGCATGTATTGTTTTTATTAATTAAATGACTTTTATTATATATACACATAAACTTTTTCAGTATTCGATCAATTAAAATGTAATAAGAAATCGTGTACTCAGTAAATTTTTGTATCTTCGAAATGACCACTTCTGTGAAGGGTTAATTATATGAATAACGTAAACTACTGCTTCATTACTTTACGTTTATTTATTTAAAATTTATATTTAATTCCACTTTCCATTGGCATTTTTGGTATTTCTGTTTCCACTTGAAATTATTCAAATTATTTATGTTATTATTATTCACATTATACATTCTTGTTATCACTATTATTTTCATTGCTATTTTTATATTACTTTTAGTATTTACATTTAGCATACGTTCATAATATTATATTAATTTCGTGAATACCAATATATATCTTACTGTTTCTACCTTTATTTACATTAAAAAGTACTGTTAAGAGTGTTAAAAGATATCCATAATTTTATATAACAAAATGACAGTCGGTATATTTTTAAAATATTTAAAACAGAATATAGAATATATAAATAATCCATAGTTTTATAATGTTAAAGAAACTTTAAGAAATGTTATTGAGGCTCAAATTATAAGATTTGTAACGTCTATGAATAAATACATGATGTCAGAAATTATTGATAAACTTGCCGAATATTCGTTCATCTAGAATCTAGATTCTAGATATTGATACTTATATTGCTGTGTTATAATTAAACACATCCTCTTTGCGGGAGTAAATATCAGCAAATAGAACTCGACTTATAAATAAAGAAGATATGAAATCTGTACAGGAGACATGCATAAGAATATAACCTATTAACAGTGTTGTAAGTAAAGACGACAGGTATTCAGATAAATGGCCCGAGATCAAAGAGCTATATTTAAGTTGAACGAGATTGAAATATGTATGGAATGTTTATGCGTGGTTGCAACCCACATTATTTCGAATGTTGCACGTTAATTTTCGGAATCAGGCAAAACAAGCTCATTATGTACGCAAATGCTTAAATGAGATTAAAGTGTACCATTTATTATATTCGTTGTGGGAATCATACCAGTTTTCGGTTTACGGTTATCGATAATGACGTTAAAAAGGGTGTATCAAGTAAATGATCATGAATACGTGGTAGAATAAATTGTTTGAAGTTATGATAACAGTAGAATTCCTTGTTTTGAATATGTAAAATTTTCCTTTTTTAGTTTATGTCGAATAATTCTTGTTTTCATATCAAATTTTCATATTAAAATTCATATCAAAGTTGATTTTTATATTGTATTAACAATAAGCAGTATACAATCGTTTGCCCTTATTTTTTATTACACTATTTCAAACTTACTGACTCCATGAGCAAATTAAAAATCAGCACCATATGTTTTTATTAAAAATATCTTCCGTTTAATATAATAATTACGTATTTCAAAAAATTAAAATCCAGCGTTATTTACAAATTAAAAATTCAAATTTATATTCGCATTTTCTACAGTGAATTGTGATTTGTTATCACATTCTCCCAACCATCGTCATATATCAACCACAACTTCCGTTCGTTCCCTTCCGCTCGCATATAAGCGTGACATAGTTATTAGTAAGTTTCAAATCGCGGTAGTGAACAGACGTGCCTTCGTTTCGCTGGATTAAGCCTCAAACACTACACATACGCTATGGGAGATCTGATACAACCAAAAAACATCTTGTTCTCATCTTACATTTCTGACAACGCGCCTGTCTATTACTAAAAAACAAAAACTGAAAAAAAAGCTTGTAGAGGGACTAACCGAAAAGTTTCAACATATTGAAACAGGTGATCGTTATCCAATCAACTGCGTTTGACAAGTATACACGTCATCTTAAAATCAGAGTGATACTAATTCTTTCAACGATAACTTACTTGTTTTTTCATATAAACATGTTCATTTTGCTCAGCTTTTCGTTAGAATATATTATAGGTGCATTTGGCCTGTGTTAGACGAATATACACTTCATTATTTAATTTTATTGCGAGCATTATCACAGATTTTTAAAATTAAATTCCACAGTTAACAGGTTAAATCAATGAAAACATCATAATCGAGCATCATGTCACTGTCCCATATACAAAGACATAAAAAAAATTCAGAGAATATCCAATGATACGTACATATATATATATATATAATTGTTTATATTTCCCAAAAGTAATAAATATTTTATATTACTTAGAGATTGAGATAAATATATTTATATCACAACATTTTCAATCATGCGATGATTACGATTTGAAATATTTCAATGGTTTCAAAGTAGAAGTGTCATAAATAGGGAACAAATTGTCTTAAGGTAAAAAATAAGTATTTTCAAGGTGATTATAATAATTCATAGAAAAGAATTTATTCTTTTTTCTTATACTTTGCAGTAGATACAGAAATGCGTTTTATCGTGCCTGAGTTATGACCTTCAAATGCCAATATGTAATAGCTGAAGGTTTTTTAGTTTAGCTATCGAAGTTATTCAAATCGACATAGTATTTCATCTTTAAAACATCTTATGGCTCTAAATTACATAAATGCAATACGAGATCAATATTTCTCAGTTGTACGAAATGGTCGAATGAAAAATTGTCTGAAAGGATCCATTTGCAGTGTTGCACTGCATGCGTCGTAAATACAGATTATTTCTCTGTGAATTTATTCGAAAGAATATTTGCACCCGCAGATTTCGAAATGGTACCCAGATACCAAGAGAAGCCTTCATAAAATACGAATAATCCTGCTGAATAATACGTAAAATGCTCTCGAAGCCGCGGGTAGCGTTTAATAGTTGGAGTAAATTTAACATTCGCTTAGTTTCGGTTGTTCGTTGATATTTTTGCTTCTACAATGCGGATCAAACGAAATAAATACGACTGACGAAAATATTCTGACTGAGGTAAAAGCAATAATAACCGATCAGTTAAGGAAAATTTTCTGTGTGAATAATAGTAAAAGCTTGTTCCTGTGTTAAATAACGGGACTCTATGCGTGAAAATGCTGTTTCACTTTCTTACATTATACAACAAAGCGAACTATTTTGAAATAATTATATTATCCAAATTTTATAGACATTCTTGAATATTCAATACTCGCGTCAGAAGTTGACTATCCTTGAAAACGAGGAAACTACTAATTGACCACATAATAGTCAGCAGTTGACCATTTATTGTTAAACAACAAACGCTAAAGGTGATTACTTTAATATCGTTTGTTTGCAACGATTATGACGAATCATAAGTAAAAGGACAAATGCGAATGAAAAAGAGTTAATTCCATGTTGGAAATTGGAGGCATACAACGAACGTCAATGAAATAAATTGTTAGTTTTTACGATAAACAATTTAATTCAGGTAAAAGTGTTTTGTAGTTGGATCGGTAGATGCTGTAGCGTATCTATCGCACCTTTATTGAAAGATTATTACGTGTAAAAACCTTATTTTTTACGTTTCCCTGGAAAATGGTCAAGGACTGATACCAGGTCAATTATTGTTACCTTTACCTTATTTAAAGATTTTCATTAATTCCAGGATTGACCCATTGCCTTACTATTTATTTTATCTTATACTATTTAACCCCTTACCCAACGACTTTTTTCTGAACTGTGATAAATCCAGCTATAGTACTATTAATAATTTATTGAAAATAAAAGAAAATTCCAGTCTTATTCTATGTCAACGTGTGCTCTAAGGTACAATCATTGATAGCAGAGGAATAATACGTAATTTGCATTCAAACAAATTGAATAACATTTATGTTTGTTAAATTCTATTTGAAATCTTCATCACGAGTCTGACACGGTATTGTAGGGCAAAGGGTTAATTTTGTCACAACACTGTGGATACAACTGTTACGAGAAAAATCTGATACATTAAAGCTTCATTTACATTCATTTATGAAAATAAGAACATTATTTTGGTTACGGAGAACACGTGCGGGCGAGACCTGTCATTTCCACGCAAGTCCATATCTTGAAATTTTCGTATGTATGTAGGATTGGGACAATGTACCGGTGCTTTTAACGTTTAACAAAGATTTATTAACGAGGTAAAAATATTAACTAGTCTACACGTCACCTTAAAACACAAAATGGTACTAATTTTTCCAACGATAAATTCTTCATTTTGTCAAATAAACGTGCAATTCTTCTTCAAGTATATACTTTATTATTTGATTTTATTGCACGCACGATGAACGATTTTTCAAATTAAATTTCACAGTTAACCGGTTAACAAGGTACAGTGCGTTACTCGCGTGAGCCAAGCCGACCTGTGGTTCAAAAGTGAAGAGGGGCAAGGGGAT